TTTTTAAAAGAAAGTAAATGCATTTTTAATAAAACTTAGAATGAACTTTAATCAAATATATAATTGCCATTTTGTTCGATAACCTTTTGCCATCTTCCTGGCAAATTTAGTATTCCACGCTCATAGAACTTCTGGCCTTTATCTGCAAAAAACTGAACCAAGTGCGATTTTATAGCCTCATCATTGCCGAAAGTTTTACCATTTAAGGAGTTCTGCAAAGATCGAAATAAATGGTAGTCTGATGGTGCAAGGTCAGGGCTATATGGTGGATGCATCAAAAGTTCCCAGCCAAGCTCACTCAGTTTTTGGCGAGTGACCAAAGATGTGTGCGGTCTAGCGTTGTCCTGGTGGAATATGACACCTTTACGATTGACCAATTCTGGTCGCTTCTCCTTGATGGCTGTATTCAATTTGTCCAATTGTTGACAGTAAACATCCGAATTAATCGTTTGGTTCCTTGGAAGCAGCTCAAAATATACGACACCCTTCCAATCCCACCAAACAGACAGCATAACCTTCTTTTGGTGGATATCAGCCTTTGAAGTGGTTTGAGCTGGTTCACCATGCTTGGACCATGATCGTTTTCGACTAACGTTGTTGTAAACAATCCATTTTTCATCTCCAGTTATGATTCGTTTTAAAAACGGATCGAATTCATTGCGTTTAAGGTGCATATCACAAGCGTTGATTCGGTGTGTTAAATGAATTTCTTTCAATACATGTGGTACCCAAATATCAAGCTTTTTCACCAGTCCAAGACTTTTTATGTGATAATGAACGGTTGATTTTGGTATATTTAACTTCTCTCCTATCTCACGCTCAGTTACATGACGATCCAATTCGATTAATGCTTTGATTTGGTCATCATCAACTTCATTTGGCCGACCTGAACGTGGCTCATCTTTAAGTGAAAAATCTCCAGAACGGAATTTGCGAAACCAATTTTGACACTGTCTTCCTTTTAAGGCTTCATCACCATACACATCTCGTAACTTTTTAGCAACCTGCTCCGCGTTTTTTCCTTTACGGAAATAATAAAGTAAAATATGACGAAAATGCTCCTTTGTGGGCTCCATATTAAAATTGACGCCAAACAAACAAATGTAAACAAAATTTCGCGCACTTTTTTTCTAAAGCAAGCTAAAAGTAACAGCCGATAACTGACAGAAGAAAGAATGCAATTACAGAGTCACAAGCCGTTGAAAAAATTTGTCAATGCCGACTATATGAAAAATCCTCAATTACTTTTTGGGCAACCCAATATATATAACTTGCGCATTGTAGCCACAGAAGAAGCGATTTTCGGCCGAGCTCGTCCTCCAATTTTTGATTTTACGTCTTGATGTTTTTCCAACAAATGGAGAGACCTCCTGTTTATACTAAGCCGCCTCCGAACGGCTGATGGTTTTTCTTTATAAGGAGCTTTATTTTAAGTCAGAAATACGCTCAACCCCTCCGAGACATTCCCTGCCGAGGGGCGACCGCATTTAGAGAATTAAGCTTTAGTTTGTATTTAAATTAGTTTTCTATAATTTTTGGTTATTGGTGGTACGAGGATTTGAACCCGGGCCTACCGGAATATAAAATATGAAATATGAAAGTCTTTTTAGCTTTCATGATCATATTATATTGATTGTATTGCAGTTTAGGATTGTGGTCTCTGTGTCAACTTTAAGTGAAGCTAGTGCTATTTAGAAGCAGAACACGCCTGGTGGGGCTCTGAATGCAATGTCTAAACTTTCTGAACTTTTTGAACTTTCTGATTTCAAGAGTTACGACTCGGAGATATTTTTTTTTACTCAACTGATACGAAATTCATTTTGGTTTAGTTATGCATTTTTTAAATATTAATCTTTAGCTTACCTGCTCTTGTATGTCACTGCCCAGAAACATCATACAAAGAAATATTATAGATGGTAGTGCAAAAAATGCTGTCTTAACCGTAGATCCGATGGTTTGTAAATATCCTACCGCTGTGGTCATATTCAATATATACACAATGAATGTAATGTCAAGTGTCGATATAAAAGTTATGAGTACAAAAACAACGCCATAACTTGTACTTATATCCTCGTTACAAAGTAACAGTAGTTTATCATAAGCAACGAGACGTTCTTGGATATTGTCCAAGTCTATGCCGGTAACACGTTTTTGTCGATGATTATTTTTCACTATCACAATATTCATAGTGTCTATATTATTTAAGTGTCCCGTTATAATCTGAATAATACAAAGATAAATCGACAATATGATCGATGATATGATATAGTAAAGTTGCCAAGTTACATATACGCATATGCTCAAGAACGAATGTGGTATTGCCAATTCTTGCCACATGCAATATGTGTTCAGTGCAACCGCACCCATAACAGCCGCAATCATAACCGATTGAAAAATACCGACCTTTCGTTGAGCAGCAGAAAAAGATAGGCGTTCCATTAAATACATACAATACGAAATGATATTAAAATGCTGCCGATATAGCGCCAAAATCCAAGCATTTATCAAAAACTGTGCCATAAACGCTGCAGAGACCAACACGTTCCAGTAATTGTTTTCTATAGCTGAATATTCAACTTTAAAGAACTCTTCTCTTCGAATCACTAAGACTCCAATCAACACCAAGTACACCATTTGACATGCCCAATGTGTAATATTAAAACTCCATCCTTTTTGCAATATATATTTATTTTCCCTCATGCAGTATTTAATTGGCATTATTCCCAGGTGTCTCAGAAGCATATTGTAGAAGCGTAACGCGCGTATAATGTTTAAAAATGACATTACGAATTTCGTATATAATTTGATTGACCGTTCAATTTGGAGTACTCGTCTGAAATGTGTATTGCTTTGGAACATAGTTGGGCTCTTCATGGATGATTGCAAGTTGCTGTTTACTTAAGAAACGAAAAATAACAGTTCTGTAGGCGAAAAGGAAAAAACATGTATACATACAATGCATTTTATATGTATCCCCAGCCAAACCAGCGTGACTCAAACTCCAATACAATTACAAAATATTCGTTGCTACTAAAGGTGCTGTCAGACACAGCAATTAATTGCTTAATCTCAAGAACTGCGGCCGCGGTAGCCGAGTGGTTAGCATTGCGTACTGCCATTCGGAAGACACGGGTTCAAATCGCCGTGCGACCAACAACCAAAATTTATAGAAAATTAATTTGAATAAAAAATGAATTAATTAAATTAAAGTTTTCTAATTGCGGCCGTCCCTCCGCGTGTATTTCTGACATGAAATAAAGCTCCTCATAAAAAACCATCAGCCGTTCGGAGGCGGCTTAGTATAAACTGTAGATCCCTCCATCTAATGGAAAGGCATCAAGAGGCAAAACCACAAATTCGAGCAGAAGCTCGGCGGAAAAACGCTTCAGCGGTTACAAAGCGCCAACTATATTATATAAATATTTATTATATTACGGGTTCTTTTAGTCGCTCTAATATTGAAGTGTTCTTTAGTTATTTGAATATCTTTTATATATATAATCAATTAAATTAAGAGAGTTTCCCGATTGACTGGTACAGCTTAAACTTCTTGGGAGGTGCTGTGCATCTTTTATGTTACTGTATAGTGACTCGTTTCGATTCAGTTTTATAATGGCCCGCGTCTCGTCTCCAGTAACAACTCGACTCAATACACCATCCTTCACTTCATTACAGAGGTCCAAAAATGCACGTGAACACATTACGAGCTGTTATTTTTGCGGTGACATGAGCATCTTCAGCACCCATCTTACGCTGACCGTAGTCATAGCAGATGATCATGCAGGATTTATAAAATAGTTGTGTTGGACACTCGAACCATTTCTGACAGTTCTTTCAACTTTTTGGTTAATCTCTGGCGTAGTCACCTCGAAGTGCCTAGGCGGCCTTAAGTCTTCTTTAAGGGACTTCCTTTCTTGTTTAAATAAACTTTAGCACTTGTATATCATGATTTTTCCCGTACAAGAATCGCCGTAAACCAATAGGACCTAACAAAAATGTTTACCATGGAGCAATTCGATGTTCAATTCATGTAATTTTGCCATGTATGGATTAACTTGTTTGCCATATACGGGTTTTTTTTTGCAATTATGGCTTTCAAATATTCGAATAAAAGATAATATTCATTGTTATTAGTATTTGCCATTTCAATTAAGCCGATAAATCATCCCAAAATAGTGAGATCATATTTTCCAGCTGATTGCTGTGTTTTCAAGTGCTTTGAACTGGAATCAACAGTTGCTGTTAACTTAGATGACGATTCTTTCGATTGTTGAGCAAAGTAATGGAACAATGTTCCATGAAAAATTCGTTACATTTCTGTCTATGAGTGTAGAAGCAGTCAGGCGTCACGAAGAATTTTCATAGCCAACCACGACCACGCTGTCCATTGTCAAATCCCTTTAAGGAAATTTCCACTTACATATATATTTCTCATATGAAGCTCTTTCCAGAAAGCTTCCTTCTGTGGAAAAGCTGTTGCAAAGAAGTTTTTTTTTACATCCTGAGTTTTTATTTCGCCGTTTATTTTTTTAAGGAGATATTTTATAGTAGCAAATAACTTTTGTTGAGATAATGAATTAAATTTCGTTTTTCCTTATTTGTGAAAGGCAAACTGTTTAAACTAAACTTAGTACGCGAGTGTGCAGATTTATTTAGATATAAGATCAAAAACGGACTTTTTTATTGATATTTCATATATAATATATGTATATATAAACATAAATCTTAGAGATGCAGCAATATCATTCGGTTTCACTAACAAGAAAAACTAACTCAACGAAATGAAATCGTTAACGTTGAAAAGCACAAAACTCATCGTCGACATTTAACAGCAGCTTTGGAAAAAATTAAATATATGTATTAATAAAATCTACTATGCATCGAAGCGATAAAGCTTTAGATAAATACATATGTATATAAAATAGTACAACCCTAGTATAAGTATATATATTCGTACACATGCAGATGCAATATTACAATAAGAATTTTTTTCTTTACAGAAAAGCGAATTCGATTTCTTAGAATGGTCGCCGTTAAACGATCGTATGTTGATGATACCAGACGATTGGACAAATGATACACTATTCTCTTCGATTAATGGACCGTTCCCATTTCCGGATCCACGAGAAATAGGCAAGTTTCTAAAAGCGTATAGTAGCACCATTAACAATTAACTAATCCTTATATTATGTCTTTAGCAAGAGGTGCGGGTATAGCCGATTTTATACAGCCAGGACTGGGCTCTCTGCAACCTAATATCGACGATATTGATCTAACATTTGATGGTAAGCATGTATAATATACAATTATAACAATTAATTCCTAAGTATTTATCCCAAAGCTTTATTCTTCGCAGAGCTGCTACAGCCAACTCGTTTGCCGCCAGTGCCAGAGGAAGGCACTGACGAAATGCTTAAAAATGTGGAATATAATCTATCCGCAATTATGGGTATTTAAAAAATTATCTTATGCTCAATATACTCAGTTAAACCATATGTTTGTATTAGGTTCCGATCAGTTAGCGACGAACAATATGGTCGGTGTTGGTGGAAATACCTCGAATGCACTAACGGTTAGCGATGATGCTAATATGTTGGACTTGAACGCACCGCTTGAAACGATTCAATTTGAATCAGCGATGGCCCAACGTTATCCGGCACCGTTGTCGCGTGAAAATAGTGGCAGTCAGTTATTGAATACATCAGGATCTAATCAAACGCATGAAATTAACTCTGTGGATACAATAATGTCTGAGAATCGTTCCTCTGCAGTAGGTGTTAATGAAAGCATGGGATCTCCTGCCTCTACCTCAGATTCGTCAGCTATGCGCTTGCACTCTAAACATTTCCCCACTACAAACGATGGTGTCTCGAACAACCGATCCTCAAGTAACGAATTTCCAAGCAAAAGCGTGATGAAAGGTCGTATTTCAAAGAACCAACGACCATTTAGGTATGTATAGATTTCAATATCTTATAAGCTAAATATATAATCATATATTATATTCTTTATAGACGTGAGCCACATAACTACGATAAAGCTCAGCCTACGCTGCATCAAACAACCATATATCAGCAAATGTTGGCAGAACACCAAAAGAGCCAACAAAATCAACATTTGCAGCCTTCCTTACCTTGTACTGGCTTGCAGCATCAAGCAATGGCATACCATGCGCACCAACAACAACAGCAGCAGCAGCAACTGCAATCAACGCCCACACAATATGCAACCCCAACTTCACTTATAAGTGGATCAAGTGGTACGGGAAGTGGCACTGTATACGGTGCCTATGGCAATGTTGATGTTTCATCGTCTTCTAATAGTGGCCTTAACATTAACAATAATCTACTTAATGTTTCTATGATAAACCCAAAGCCCAAAGGTTATGCAATAATACAAACAACCACAAATTGTCTCTCCAGCGCACCCCAAATCAATACCAATAATTCTACAAACACATCAATGATGTTACAAACGGTAAAAACCGAGCCGCCTTCAGCCGATGTGTTATCCATGTATAATTTAAACACTTCAAATGATGCGTATGGCGGCGTTAATACAAATTTAAGTAGTAATAATAATTCAAATGCATACAAACCTTACCCAAGTGTGAGTAATTTTAAAAAATCAGCTTCCACTGGTGGCTACATAAATATGCGTGTCAATACAAATTCACCTTATATGCATGATCAGTCGTCTACTGCACAACATGTGCATCAACAATCGCTGCCACTTAATTTAGGCTGTCAGGTGTCCGCTTTGCCCAGCCCTCTACAATTACAGGTACAAGCACAATGCCAACTATCACCTTCTTCTAGTCATCAACACCAACAACAACAACAACAACAACAAGCAAGTCAGCATCTTCTGACAACACAACAACAGCATCAAATGCAGCAGCTTAGTCAGCAACAACAACAAACGGCAGTTAACATTATGCCCCGCGAAATGTTTAGATCAAATAGTTTGCCACTTAATGTAACACTACAGAAACTGGAATCACGCTCCAGCCACGACAATTTCGCTGTACCAAAATATCAAGCGAAAAATAATAAGCCACGTTCGCGTAGCAACTCCATACACCAACATACAATTGTTGCACCAAACGGTGCTAACAAGTCGAACAGTGCAAAAAGTAATAGTCTCATGGTGGCGCCACAGTTACAGTCTGCCACTAGCGATCCCATGCTGAATAATAGTACCTTAGCGCAACTTCTGACAACTAGTAAGTTAATGCTGATTCGAAAGCTAAATTATATATTATTATTGATTAGCGGCATATCATAAAAAGTTTCACAATATTTAGTCAACAGAAGCGTTTATAAGAGAATGTAAATAAACTAATTTTAAGTCATTTTTTATATGCAACCGTTTTTGTTCCGTTTTCAGTTGCAGTAAAACTAGATTTTTAAGAATAGAACTTGTATTTAATATTGCTAACAATAATCTTTCGTTTTTTTTTTTTTTTGAAGTATTAAATTTTGCGTATTTTGTTCCCTTTAAATATTAATTTCATTTTCAAATTTAATATTTGGAACTTCTAAAGTTGTTTCGGTCTTTTTGACGAGCTATCCCTACCGAATTCTAGATAATGAAACTATTTGTGAATGTAATAATCTATAGTAATTTAGCTTAAACAATAATAAATGAATTTCTTTCTTCTAGACTCCCGGTCGTTGCTTAAAAAACAAAGTTCTTCCTCAAGTGCCATATCTAATTTAAACGTACCTATGGATGCCATGCCAATGCCAGCTGTTGTTGTACCACCGCCGGCATCTTCGGCTGTATCTGTAAATGCAAATAAATCCCAAAATATTGGCAATACACCCACCACCGCCAATTATTTTACAACTTCCAATGTTCAATGCACAATAAGCACAACAGCAGGAACGCCGGCGGAGGCAACATACACTCGCCATGGGATGCATATGCATCAAGAACAGCTACAGAAATCACCAAAAAAATCTACTTCACTGCCAACACCGGCAGCACCTCCGATGTTGCATAGTCCTCCTGGTAGTAAGGTACCAAATCAAACTAAAACGTAAAGAAAGCAATTAAATTTTGAGTAAATATTTATTAGATGATGAGCTATCCACCAACGGCCAGTCAGGCAGCAATGTGCACTAATACGATGAGTTTATCACCAGAATCATTTCATGATCAAGACTCACCGCTCTCGCCAACACATAGCTTAAAGTTTCCTAGGGAGAATCAAAGGCGCGCCGGACACATTCATGCGGAGCAAAAGCGACGATACAATATTAAAAACGGCTTTGATTTATTGCATTCACTTATACCGCAATTGCAACAGAATCCCAATGCTAAGGTAATCAATCAGGCTTTATTGAAAGTAACTGCTTTTATAAGCATATACAATAATATGTAGCTAAGCAACGATTTCTTTCAATTTTGCAGTTAAGTAAAGCAGCAATGCTGCAAAAAGGCGCGGATCATATAAAACATTTGCGTGCTGAACGCAACCAATTGAACGATCATATGGAAGCATTGCTAAAAGAGAGGGATATACTTAATAACTCGCTTACGTAAGTTATAAAAAAAAAGGTTGCATGTTGCTTATATTTACTGGTCTTATGCATTTTGGTAAACTCTCTAATGTTGTTCTTTTACAGACATTTGCATTCAATCCTTCCAGCGAATGGTGCACCTGTAACACGTCAGGGTACGGAACATGTTCGGCAGTTGTATGATCAATATGTACGCCATCGTACAATGCAAGACTGGAAGTTTTGGATTGTAAGCGTATAACAAGCGCATGAAAGTGTATTTATGAAAATTAAATTTTTGTCTATTCACAGTTGGGACTTATATTGGAACCACTGTTGTCATCTTATACTGCATCAGTGTCAAGTGCCAGTCTAGAGGAATTACGACGCACTGCGTTTTTATGGGTTGATCAGCATTGTTCGTTGATTGATTTGCGACCAGGTTCGTAGCAGCATATAATAATCTTTATTTGCCGAAATGAGAGGGTTGTATAGGCGGGTGAATAGGTTCATTAGGAACGTAACGTATTTCAGCTCATCACTAAGTATAGAAAATCAGTTCCGATCATAATGAGTAAGAAGTCATTAATTTATGGCTACTCTTGTTCGAGAAAAACCATGCTGTATATGGGCCACTTGTTTATTTATACAAAGAAGGGAATCTCTTGAACACGGACCCAGGGCGGGCAGAAGCATCGAGGTGACCACGCCAGAACTTATCCAAATAAGAAACAACTCGCAGACATGTTTGGACTATCCGATATAACCATTTTTAAAAACCTGCACGATCAGCTTGTCATGACTACGGCTAGTGCAAGATGGGTTCTCGAGAAATCTCACGCATCCACAAAAATAACAGCTTGTAGTTCATGTGTATTTTTGCACTGGCTCCCAATAAGGTTTGGTGTCATAGTCAGAAAACTCATGTTAACGGTCTTCCATTATAAAGAAAAAAGTTGTTTCTATAACTGGAGAATAAGAAAGTCGGGGGTGATGCTTTTGCATGGCAACGCGCCGGTTTATAAGAGTCGCGGTGCGGTTGCAGGTCCCTAATTATTACTTCTTTGCAAATATGGAAAATGAAGTCAGAGTAAAAATATTTACCACCGGTAATGAACTCAAAGAGACAGATTCGGCCCATTTTGAAGATATATGGGAATTTTTTATATATATTTTTTTTTCCTGTGCAGTCTTAGGCGACACTTTTTTATTGGTTGTTTGGAATTAAAAAGAGCGATATATATACATATGTAATATATAACGAAATTAAAAGCATTATGAATCACGGTTTGTCGCTATCCTGCGAAGCGGGTCGTATTTTATTATACAAAGTTTTTAAATAGCGTCAATTCTTCTTCAGTAAGAATTTATTGTTTAATTTGACTGAAATGAATAATTGAAAGTTTTGAAACATGTCCTATTAATAATAATTTCTATATTATTTCAATTTATATTTTATACAGCGGTTTCTAATAAATTAAAGTACTTGTCAATGAAAACCGATATTTTGTCCGATCCCCCATCAACATTGCAGGACGAAGTTGCAAAGGCTGTTTACAACAATAGCGGACACCATCCAAATTTACATGGAACTTAAAATACGTACATTCATATGTAAATTAGTTATAGTGATATAAAATTTTTCGGTTTTATTGATAATATTTTCAAGAATTTGTACAAATCTTTTTTATTCTTAAAAACGTGCCTATGAAGTTTAAAAAATATAGTTATTGTTATACGTTAATAAAGAATAAATAAAAAAATTTATAACATAAAGGATGCTAAAATAAATCGTCATTTTTAGATGAAGTCCAAATGGCTCCGCTGCTCTTAAAATTTGATATGAGTTTTTTTTTTTTGTCAAAAGATAGGATACACCGTTGACTATTCCATTTATTAAGCTCTTTATGCGTCAATATGAATTTATTTTACACCTGATTTTTAAGTTATACAAAAAATGTCCGCGGTTTTTATCACTAGATGGTGTTGATACTTTGATTTCAATCAACCCATTACCGATAATTAATAGAAAATTGCAGAAACTTGTATATGTCAACCCATCCGAGTGTATTTCTGACATTAAATAAAGACTCTTTATGAAAAATCATTAGTCATTCGTAATCGTCTCTAGTTGAGTTAGTTTATTGCGACCACTGACAAGTTATCGAGAAGATGAATGACAGCCGAAAAATATTTTTTTATATTCGGTTGACTCTGCAAGGACTCCCACATAGATTATACCACAGTGTCCCCCCTAAATAAACATGGCTGCTCTCTTAGCAAATTTAAATTAGCGTTTTGGGGGCTCACATTCTGAACTTCTTGTCTCTTTGCATTTGCTAAAGATTTGCTTAAAAGCATCAGGTGAAATCCAAGACCCTTTTACATGTATAAAGAGCTCCAGATTACTTCCTCACGAACTTCTGCACATTGATCTTCAACCACAACTTGATAACCAAAACTGTTAGTAAACACTTGGTGTAATCCAATTTTTAATTTTATTCTTTCTTGTGAATAGATATATATCTGTCTTATTGGTCTTAACGCTAAATCCCATTGAATTAGCGCAGCTATTTACTGGTCCGCCAGATCTTTGCAGGTCTGAACAGCAACAACAATGTCAGTCTAGAAATATAACGCAGAATAATTCTTAGCATTTTGCGTTACTTTGGACTAAATAAGCAATTAAAAAGTAAAATCCTCTCTCGACGAACAAAAATCAAACTCTACAAGTCCCTCGTCATCCCCACCCTGTACTTGGTATATCCAATTGGCGTCAATTACGAAAAGAAGAGACGAATACCGCTATAATCGCATACACTAGTAAAGAAGAACAAATCTACTCAATACATAAAACGGTTACCTTATAAAACTCGCCTGCAAGAGGGATTCCGATCATTTGAGCCAACAAATGCCAGGAATGCATGACGACATAGCCGTCAGCTCGTAGAACGATTTTCCTATAACTTTCTTAAGGTCGAATTGACAAACGTTATGTTTTCATTTGTACGTCATTCTCTCTTCGTTTCCTTGTGCATTTTTGTCGTCGAAGGAAATCAGCTTTGACAAAAATTTTCTCTACATATATACACTGCGCGAAAACCGATTAGCACACTCTATAACCTATCAGTTTAAAGGAAAATAACTCCCTACTCTGAATATGTTTCATTCGCATTCTATTTTTCCTTTTATTCTGTATCATTTGCGCTCATTCTAAGTATAACTGTGAGCTCTGGAATTGTACCGTTATTTTGGTTTACTTTTTCTTTGTTGTGCGACAAAAATGCATGCATGTTTTTTACGACAGCCGATTAGCACATTTTCGCTTTCATGTCACTTTTTGCGTGTAAGCTTCCTTGATTGGATGTTTAAGTTTATTATTTATTTATTGGGACTAATTATCAATAAAATAAGGTAATAATGGGCAAAGGAAAACCATTGGACGAGTCTGAAAAAAGGCAAAATAAAGGCTTACAGGGAGTGCGGACACTCTATTCTTCAAATATCAAAAAATATTAAGCGCAGCCGTAAAGTTATTACCCCATATTAAAGCAATGAGGATACATATGGGAAAAACATGAAAGGTCGGCCATCATCAGTAATAACAGCAGCTGACAAGCGAATCAGTTACGACACGCATCTAATTCCCACGACTCAGCCGCCAAAATAAAGGAAAAAACTGGTGTTAAAGCGTGCGTTCGGACTGTGCAAAAAGTTAGTTCGAATGCTGAACATATGAAGCATCTCAAATTAAAAAAAAAAACCATCTCTAAACCAAGTTAGAAAGATGCAACGACTCAATTTCTGTCGATCAAATATGACCTGAACTAAGGAGTTTGAGCGTGTAGTCTTTTCAGATAAAAAAAAGTTCAATTTCGTGGGTACTGACGGCTATGCCTACTATTTTCATGATCTCGTAAAGGAAGAGTATACTTTAGCCGTGTGGGTGGTGTCATGGTGTGGGGAGCTTTAACATACTTTGGCACTATAGAACTGCAGTTTCTTACCAGCCGTATGAATGCCATTGCGTACAAAGGTGTACTGTATACGGCTTTCCCTGCAATCAAGGATATTTTTGGACCCTTGAAATGGTATTTCCAGCAGGACAACGCACGTATCCACACAGTCAGGATTATAAAGTCCTGGATTGATGGTCAAAACGTGGAATTACTGACTTGGCCGCCATACTCTCCCGACCTAAACATTATAGAAAATGTTTGGGGATGTCTGGCACGAAAGGTGTACGAGTCCGGCAGGCAGTATTCAACTGAAGCAGAACTCATTGAAGGAATAAAAAAATTATGTGACTCCTTACCTCAGCGGATGTACGAAGTCATACTTAACCGTGGAGGCTCAACACACTATTAATTTGTTTCAAAAAAAGTTAAAAATATTTAAATTAAATATTTAAATTAATAAACAATTTGAATGAAGTTTGAACCCATTTTCTTTTGTTATTTTAAGTTTTCAAGTGACTGTGCTAATCGGCTGTCGCAAAAATAATAGTGAATTTTGTATGTTATGTTTGTTTATATTAACTTAAAATGTTATTAATAAAGTTAGTATCCTATCTTCTATTAATTTTCATGTGAAATTATATTGTATGTTCTTTTAAGGGGAAAAAATGTATTTGAAAAGCTTTTTTAGTTTTCCTGATATTAAGTTTCCAAGACGAGCATCATAGGGTGTGCTAATCGGTTGTCGCGCAGTGAAACGTTATTAAGATTCAGTCTTTATTTCCATATTTTATATAAATAATGTGTGTACATTTTTAAGTAGCATCTGTAATACATTGTAAGCAAAACCATGTCATGTATTGGTAATTCAGTTCCTCAGCTCTACAAACGCCTCCGTCATGATCGCGACTCCTTTGAAGGTTAAAGTAAAATAAAAAATTAATATTCGAATCAGAATGTTATTAATATCCAAATGCAGTTGAACCTCGCACAGTTTTATTGAAAATTTTCAAATAAATCTGCTGTTGCTGCAAAGTGAGCAGCGTCCATTCCAGTCAATCTGCTCTATTAGCTGCTGATTTTTCCGTTCACTATGCATTGCCCTTTAATAAATGAAAGTAAGAAGCAATGAAAACTGATGTATATAGTTAATTAATCGACAATATTATTACCACAGCTTGTACAGGATTCTCAGCATATATTTTTCACTTTTATTTGCCGTAAATAAGAGCAAAGAAAATCGGATAATCCGTTCAGCTACATTCTCTTTTTCACTCTGTATGCACTCAGAAGAGAAAGATGAACAGCACAACTTGCTTATGTGTGTGTTAGTGCTGCACGAAATCGTGTAAGTGTATTGGTGAGCCCATCAGTCTGTTCTTGCAGGGTCCATTTCACAAAATGTTTACCAATTGGTTTTGATATTTTCTTTCATGGATAGTGCAAATGTCAACCATTACGTAATGTTTACACATTTGCTATAATTTTTTTTTTCAGTGGAAAGTATTTTTTGTTGTCGTCAACTAACAAGTCTCACAAATAAACAAAATAAATAATTTTAGCCATAATCACAATGAATATTGCTTTATTACTTGCAAACAAATACAAAATTGCTTTAGAATAAAAGTTGTTTACAAATGTATGTATGTACATATGTACATAATACATACATATGTTTTGTTTGAATGTATATAATCATATTATCATCAACTTATACGTACATACATATATATAGGTAATAGTACATACTCATATTTGTTTGTGTAAAAGGGTGCATTCTACATATAAAATGTACAGACTTAATTACAATCTTAAGTTTTGAATTATAATTAAAGCATAAATTGGCCTTATCTTATACAATATAATATTATCAATGATGATTTGCAATGTTTCTTCTCATATTCATTTCATATTAAGGCAAAATGTAAGTCACTTACGTTGCTTTACGAATTATAATTATTTTAATATTAAAGCTTTGGTTTTAGGTATTTTTTCTAGTAAAAAAAATTATATAATAATATAACAATACAATACATATTATACATAAGCGTAAAAATGTGCATACAAAATATGTGTGTTTGGAAAAATTTAAATTGCTTTTTTTTTGTATCGATTTTATACGTAACCGTTAGGAATGCAAGTAAAGCTGTTTTAATTCCTTTTTTTTTAACCTTGATATTTATGTGTATATGTATCATTTACTTGTATTTGTTATATGCAATACATACATACATTACAATGTGGAATTAAAATATTTTTCAGAAAAATGTTTAATCTAAGTAAAATAACACTTCTTCTGTATGAGAAGCCATTAGCAAAAATGTGTGTTATAATAATTAAATATTTATATAATATACACCATTTCTTTCGCAATTTAATGATTGAAATATTGGCAAATATAGCCTTAATCAAGAATAGAGCTCTGAGGCTGCGCCCTCCTGAGTTGCTTTTGAAACTAAATAATAATGGAATTATGATAGAATTGTGATTTAAGAAAAAAAAATACTTTGGAGCAATTTTCGATGCCAGTTACTTAAAAAGTTCCTAGACTACTAGAATAAAGCATCTAGACTAAAGCAATGACATGCAGAAGATTCGCAGGGAAGTTATGGGCTTGCAAGCGAAACATCCTTCACTCAGT